GTCAACAACGGGACTTCATCCTTAATATTGAACAGTAACTACTCAAAGCTCGTAACCGGACAAAGTGCTAACAGGTGTGTCCAACCCTCCTCAACAGCAGATCACACCACGCAACTGAGCTACAGTCTGACCTCTGGCTTACGGGAAGAAATTGCTCTGAAGTTCGCTTCGGAGGAGGGAAGTCGTTTCAACTGGACCATGCGAAGAATATTACTGACTATTTGGCTGATCCACGACGGATTACAGTATTTTGATGGGGACTGTGCTTTTCACCACCTGAAGTAATGTTTGAAGGGTTTAGTTACCTCAAATCCAACCGACCGTTACTAATATAGATAAATACTGACATTCTGCCAAATGCAACTCAGCTTCCACAGGCAGACAGCTTTGGGCTTGAGAGCGTACCGCAAAAAAAGGCAAAAAGCATGAACTCGGCTTCATTTGTTCAACCATGACGGTTCAACTGCCAAAGCGAAATCAAAACGAGCCTCTCCTATGATTTTTTCTTCATCACGAAGAGACTGGACTTTATTGCGGTGTGACGGATCGTGCACCTCCATAACCCATCGAGCTATACTGGGGAGTGCATGTGTGAAACCCACATGGCCACTCATGCAAGGGTGGTAAATGGATAAGGGTCTGGTCCTCGAAGTTGGGGGTTGAAACACACTTAGTGAGTTACTCCCTAAAATTTCAAAATTCTCTGCCGATCCGACGTCAACCACCGCTGCCTTGATGCCGGGCTTTGGTTGAGGACTCCAATCGTCCTCCAGTCTAGGTGTGGACGCCCTAACAGTATCCTAACCTAAGTAAAACCATGAACCGCGAACTTACATGTCACGCTCTCATGTCACATCGGCTGTCGCGTGGTTGGATCAGTCGAACCGCCTTATTTGCTGCACAGAACAAAGCACGTGAGGCTGCTTCTGACGTCTCCCTTCTTTCGTTTTCACATACTCGTTGAACTCGCCTCTTCAACCTGTTACTAGCGACATTTCCGTGGGCCGATTCTCAATGATCGTTCGTGCCAATTGTCTTTACCTGAAATATTTACAGCTGAGTCGGTCGACACCGTCACAGACACTTAGATACAGCAGTGGAACATAAGTGTTCTCACTTAGTGCTGGTGCCGATGATGATTATTTTGGCTTGTTAAGATGAACAGAGTTTGCTGTCGATACAACGCTGACTGGATCTAAAACCGCGGCGGATGTGTGATTTGACCTCTTACCCAATTTCGACCTGCGCGGGTGAGTTCAGTATGGTCTCATGTTCGGTGTTGCTCCGGCATTTTTAGATCAGGCGTGGGGGCCCTGCTTTCAGTTGAGTGTGATCAAGCCAAACGAGCGAATGGTGCCCAGAAGATAGTTTTATTAGGTTCTGAGGGTTAGTGGCTTGTTGAATGGTATTATGTGATAGAAATTTCAAGGGTGTGTAAACGGATTTCCTCCAAGGAGTTATTATGCCTGGGTGGCTGCTTACTATGGACGACTGCACTTTCTGAAGAATCTTGTTTGACGGAAAAGTAGGCTGATAATTTAAAGCAAGTGACACAATCACTCAACCTGACAAGTTAATGATACTCTTGTTTCAATAATCCTAGACATCAGATCGAAGAGAGAAAATTCCTCTCCCTCACGTGACTTCGGCTCATTCAAAGCAAGAACTTCTGCACCATGTGATCGTTTGGTCACAAATCCCAAAGCACTAGGTTCTGTCTTTAAAAAACAACAACAACAACAATAGTACTGTCATTCAGGTCTCTTTTCACACCAGTACTCAAGTCAAAGGGGCATTACGCGGAACAGGTAAGCCAGATGTGTTCCATTCAAGTTCTACAGATGAAACGGCGGTAAATAATTTCCGAGTTCTCGACACAGGCTTGTTGTTTGTCCTCAGCATGCAATGATGTCATAAATAACCTTTTGTGACTATCTTCAGTTACGACAAGGCAAACATGGTTGTCACGGTTGGTCAAAATGCGGGTGTGATCTGGATCTGGTTTCTGTATGTGACGGAGACAATCAAGTCAAACAGACTTAACTGTCCAAAATTAAACCCATCTCTTCCAAGGCCGAGTCTATATGAGAAGAAAAGTGCGCTTCCTGCGATCGCTATCGAAAGGAACGAGTTGAGCAATGCTCCGTGGTGCGACTCAAGATAATGTGGTGGACTTGGTTCTTTACACGCCTCACTTGAATCAAAGAATGAGATAGCTAATGGAATTTGAACCTCCTTATTTAACATCATTCCCTCGATCTAGCCCCGGACTAGAGGGTGGTTCAGCTTCCAATGTTGGCTATCCAACTCGGTCCTTCACCAAAATAGTCCGATTGGGAGTCGAACACCGCATCATCGTGCTCGTCTTCTGATAAACCCGTGTTCGACCCAGAACGAACTAGTATGTTCAACCTGAGCAAGGATTTTGTGGCACCGCTGGTTGTGGTGGGCAGACTTGAAAGGGGATATTAGCTAGTACTACGTGTGTACAGACGATCGTGAAAACGATGTAATAATCGGCAATGTTTTTTCGCCTGTCCACACTCGGTTGTGCGCAGTTGCAAACAGAAACAAACATACATAGGCCTAAGAACCAACACAAAACCAAGCATGCACAACAGCAACAAGCAGCAGTGAGATGGGAGCGGACGAAACGGAAATCGGAGAAAAAGGAATTCGCAGAATAAGGTTGCAATGTAGAGGCCTGGCGTACACGAGGTGAACCTGGTGTCTACAACCACGTAAGCACAGTTGGTTGTGTGCGCGAAGGTGGAAAAGAGGAAACAGAAAAGGCCTTATGTATGTGTGCAGGAGAACAGCAAAATCTGTTTAAACCTGAATGCTACAACTCTGGTAACATTGGTTGCGAAAGCCGTTCACACATCCGGCTGTCTGTGTGCTGTATATGTGTGTGAACGCGGATCGCGATAAAATCAACGTGGGAAGCTCTGCACAGGCAGAAAAAACGATAACCTGATTGATGCGAGACATAAAGAGTAAAATAGTGGATTGTAAGAAGTGACCGTAACCAAGTAGCTGGGTATTTCATTTGCTGAATGCCTACGGGTTCAGTGTCGGGTTCTACGTCGAGGTTCGGTCATTGTTAACTAAACGGCCAAGTCAGACGGATTTCGCAAATTCGGTCGATGAATATCGTGCAGCCTAACCTGACCGGAGTGCATCGAACCTCAAAACATAAACTGGTGTTCTTTGACCGGGAAGAAATTGAAGAGCAGGAAAATACATTGGACCGACTGTTGTCTGATCCATCCACACAACCCTGAAGACTATGGATACTTTTTCAAGATGTAACAAGAAAATTTGCAATAGATATTACTAAACAATCAAACAACTAGTTCCATGTTAAGTTTTCCAAGTACACTCAAAATTTGATGCAAAATATGTCCTGGTAGTATGAAACGAGTTGAGAATCAGGCAAATGAAAGACCAAACTCGTTATGAAGGTACCCCCAAAATCGATGAGTGACATTTCTTAAACCGAAAGGAAAACAATCAAAGCTAGCGAATGACATATAAGCTATATTCGCCAATCCAGCATATCCAAAAACTGTCAGATGAATGAATGGGTCAGTTCCGTCCGGCTGACTAGTGTCCATTTTTAAGTGGGGATAAATAACAATCTGGATTGTGATAGGATCACCTGGATGGGGAATACTACTAAACAAATGAACTGATCAAGAGCGACTGTTGCCAGTTCTTCCAGGCGGAGCTGTGGAAGAAGGGACGCTGGCGCGAGCACATCATCCAAGATAGAGAGAACTCCAGTCCAATGATCATCCCACTCAGGCTACAATAGGTCCTGGAAATTTGCTGCACTGTTCTGCTAAACAAAGTATTCCGATTCAAAAGAGAATGAATTCAAGACAAAATGAGACGGGTGGAAAATCAAGTCACGTTGCGCCTTGGCTTGGGAAGTGTGAGATTCAGTAGCGGAAGCAGAGGAAGTTTAGTTCAGGTATACTGGTGTGTTACGGGTATGTTGTTCAGGACGAGCAGTTGGTTTTCAATAGGTTATGCTACGACGGTGTATCTGCATCATTTTGAAAAAAAATCGTTCGTGTAAATGTAGTCACTGATAAAGAACTTGCGTCTTCCAGAGAATATCAAAATTTCTCATCAACAGGAAAGATTTATCGTGAAATGGGACTCCAACTTATTGCACTGCACGCCTTTCACACTATGTTAATGACAACAGCATCGGAGACCCCAGCATCAGTGTCAACACTCATGTTTCGCTGCCGTACAACGACAAAGCTTATTTACTTGTAATTAAAGCGTCAAAGTGAAAAAATAGAGGATGTTGAATGAGGAAGGGACGTGGCGTTAGAATTTTGAAATGCCTACATTTCCAAACGCTCGCTCCGGAAACTGATAGCACGAAAGCATGAACATCATCGGTTAGATACCACTTCTTTCAATATCTCTGATCAGAACAGGGTGGACAGCGGACGCAATCCTGGAAGATGGACAGTACAAACAACATTCAAACTCTTCGTAATCTCTTTCACACCTTTCTATCAAACTATATGTTATCCACCTCTTAGTTTGCGCCATTCTGAAGGAGACCCGGAAAACAGCACTCGAATCGGTAGACAACATTTCGGCACATGTAGCACACGGCAGTTGGTGTTAAATGTTTTAAATGACTGAAGTTCTTGTGGCACAGCCAAACACCTGCTTTATAATTGCCTCGTTAAGAGTGCGTTGATGCCACCATTCGATGCCATCAACAATTCTGTGACATCGGTGTTCGGAAACCTGCAGGCACCTCAGAACATCTGTCCCTAGAGGCCATGTCTCGTAACCATACAATAGTGTACGGCCCTTGCTGTGGTCTAGTGCATACGACCTCCAAAACTCAGTAAAGTGCCTTGTTGATACTGCAGACAACACGAATTGACAGACGTGACTGGGGAGTTCGAGCTTCGTTCACCGACTCCGTCAGAGATAATACGACCATCAAAGTATGTGACATTTACCATAACCTTCATTGCTTCTTCTTGAATTGCAATAGACATGTTCAGAGATTGCACATTCTGAAGCATGACTGCGCTTTGTAGGTGCCAGGTAAATGCCGAAAGATGGCATGGAAGTGCTTGTGTCCAGTATTCTTCTCCGATGAGTTGGGCGATGTCCTCTGGGTATTTCAGATCGACGAGTTTGTTGGCAGCAACAATTTGAACACCGAGATTTTGCAGATCCTCCTGAGTTCGCACTAATATTTTATCGATGACAAAGATAAACAAAGATGGAGTAGATGGGTATCCTTGCTGGATACCACTTTTGTATGAAAGATTCTGGAAACTTACTCATACACACTCACACGCCCAAAACCATGGAAATATAAGAGTGGGTGGTGTTCACGAATTTAGGGGATGTCCGTTGTTGAGCAGGTGTAGTTAGAAGTGCTGACCGATCGGGAGAATAGAAAACAATTGAGTAAAACCAAGATAGTGGTGAGGCTGTACACATGTGGCACTCTTCTAACACCTGACGGAGCGTGAAAATGTGATAGGTAGATGGAGCCTATACCCGGGTCAGGTCTTGCCTGGTGTTCATGGGTTAAGGTTTTTCGGGTAGCCGTGAGATGATTAATCAATGACGCCAGTGACGCCCCTTCACCACGAGAGTCAAACTGATATCTCTGTGCCCACTACATTCACTGCGAGCAGCAGTGAAGATAAGCATTATTAACGAATCTCCCTAGTTGTTTAAAATGATGTTTCTGCCAGATAGACACAAATAAGCCAGGCGAGCAATGCCTAAGCAATTTACCACCGTCCTCAGACAGAACGGATGAGAAAACGCGATGAAGCTTTAGTGTGGATATAAATAAGATAATTTGGAGCACAAAAAGGGTTCCACATTTGCAGTCTTTGTCACAGGCCGACAGTTCGGATGGGAAGTGACAGGTGACCAGGTGAACTGATGCTCAGACTATTTTCCCCAGCAAGGTACCAAAGACCCATTGACCGTTTCACTAGGTCAATGAGATCTTAGTTGTATGCTAGGATTTAACAGTTGGATGTGTGGCGAAATACATTGTTTCGTATGGGATCCTTTGGATAGCTGCTTCCCGTCATTTATGATTTACCGTCCAGTTGAATGACCACCAGAACGCTCCAGCACCACCGTCTCACCTTCGATCGTTTGCCCGCTAGGGATAAATCCACATTTGGCGTGGCTCAGCGTTCACGCTTGCTGCACCAAGTACCAATAAGTAGAATACTATTCATGAAATGCTGCATGTTCAAGTGCAATGTGGTGAGATTTCAATAGAAGAAAGTTGGATAACCTGTTGGCATCACTACTCACTCTCCTTATGGTAACATTCGAAGATACAAAAAGTTGAATTGAATCAACATTGTCATATGGTTCTCTAAACGTTCTGTGAGATCAGCTCATTAGATTGGAAGAAAGACCGGAATATTGTAGAAGGGGATGGACTTAGAATTATTTCGTTCAATTGTCGGGATGTTGCTGTCAGTATGGGGAAAAATAATCACTCGAATTAGTTTAGTTTGATTTTTAGAGACAGAAGCGCTGTTCCTAATCTATGGCTGTAAGTATTTTAGGATAGGTCATTGTCAGAGCTGGCACATGTTGACGAGGAGCGTAGTCCAATCTAGTGATTGGATCATGCCAATAAAATGACCAGAAGAAAGTAATGACGACATCAGCAGCAGTAAAAAAGCTTACCTCTTGAAATTCCTCCAACAGATAGGCTTGCCACAATGGTCGATTGATAAGCATCGGAAGCTGACTCAAAGATTGCACAACGGCTTCGACATTGATCGGGCAGGGTTGCTGATCTCTCGAACCAGGTCCTGCGGCTCTGGGATCGAACGCTTCCGAGGACGAGGATGATCGGTTCAATTTTGGGACCCACCTACTTTTAGAAAAGTTTGGTGGAAGGCAAGATGAGGGAACTCGAATCACGTGTTCCTCGATTCGGAAGGCCAAACATTCGCGCCACGCGTAGCCAGTTGAAAGACAGGTGAGACACTGAGTGAGACGTGACAGGGTATCTGCTGGTGGTACCAGTGAATTGGCACGATGACGAAGTTGCTCTGAGTTGGTCCATTTATCCTGCTGTACGTTGGAACATCGGGGACTAGAAGCCAGAGAGGATGCTGCCGAAGAACGGTTCAACAAGCGGGAAGCGATGATTTCACGTAGTTTGGCCAACTGTAGGCCGGGCGAGCCGAACCGTAGACAAATCACAATAACCGGTGCGTTTGAGGGGCTGTAAAGATGCGGACTGTTGGATAGTGCCTCAGTAGATACTTTGGGTTCTTTTAGATCTAATGAGGGAAGCCAACGAAGTTCAGCGGGAGTGAGGGGGCGTAGGGAAGGATAGTGTGCATTGCGCTGGCACTGACAGACCTGATTTCCGTCTAGATCACCCGCTCTCATACGAGAGACTATACCGATAATTGGATGCAGACTGCTCACCCTCATCTGTGGTCGATCGCACTGACAACAGATGACTTGCACGAACCAACGAGCTGTCCAAACTCCGAGGCGACGGATAACACAGGCGAGGAGACAGAGGGGCAGAACGAGGGTGGAGAACAGTGTTGTGATGAAAATAGATACGGTAAGGAAGACGAAACTCGCAAGGCAAACCGTAAGCGCATTACGTTCCCGAGGATGAGTAATTGGTGGAAATGCACCGGGCGCGATCGTACAAGGCACATGAGCGACGGGTTCAATGGGCTTGCATTCGCCGTCTGTGTTGGCTACATATTTAGGGGAAAGTAGGAGAGAGAGAGGGTACAGAGAAGCAATAAAGAGTTGGCATGTGAGTAAATAAGTTCAATGGATGGGTCGTTTCAAATACTTTTGAATCTCCTGGCTTACATAGGGGTGGAGATAGTATTGTTACCCAAAGGGTCAGGAAACAGAGATCGGGCCTCGACAAAGCACGGGTTTGGAAAAAGCGGTACTAAAGCCTGAAAGTTTCATTGACTGGTCACCGATCCCGCCCCAAATCTCCATCATAAGGGCAGACGTTCTCGCGTTAACTTAAGATTCGATTTCTGGTCGTCCCTCATACTCGACGAAAATCAAGCATCAATAATACATGGAAGCCTGATCCACAAAAATGGCGTTCAAATCCCGTGCACTTGGTCAGCTAACATACGGTGCTCGACAGTGGTGCTGGCATCGACGACAATCATAACGGTGACCGATAGGCGCGTCTCAAACAGATGTGTTCTCGCAATGTCAAATTAGGCTGCAGAAAAAAAGAAACTTGGTCATACATCATAACCCAGCTCGCTTTCCGGATATCCAGCGAACCTGGTGCAATGGCTTACTACGTACATAGCGTGGAAGTTACACTCAATTATGTTAACGGCGTTGAGTGGTAGTATACAGTTGTTTTTACACTGTAAGGTTATCTACGCCAACTAGAGCGAACACCAAAGACATGGCAAGTGATGTTTACTTGTTTTCAGCGCAACCCCCGTAGAATGAACCTCTGAAGACCAGAAAAATATGTTCTGTCTAGCCGGACAAAGTTGTCCAAACAAGATAACGGAATTCGGTCGTTCTGTCTGTTGAGTGGAAACAATCGTTACAATCGCAGCTACCGGCATTTCCAGGCAATATAATCTATGAATACCCGTGTCCGCCAAACCAGATCTGTACAAGCATGGTTGGTTGGTCTATTTGGTGTCAACGCCCACCTTATAGACTATGGGAAGCGAGTCACCTAGAAACAATTTGCAGGATGAATGACTGAACCGAGTATTTTGAAATCCAGCGAATGGGACCCAAACATGCCCCCCAGTGGATCATATGAAGATAAGTCATCACCAGTAGCCTTTAATCAAAGATTGCCGTTGCTTCTGGGGCGTCCAACTGTGCTGTTGTACATACTCAATTGACAGCCATCAGGTTGCCTGAAGCTTTCTCGGAGGAGGGTTTCAATGAACACATTTCTTCCACTTTCAAGCAATTTTTCTCACTTAAATCACCAGAGTGATGTACAGATCACTCTCCCTTTATAGGTTTCACCAGTAAGAACGCCTATTCTCATATCCTTGAACGATCACCAGCAGCAATGTCCAAATGTCCATCTGTAGTGATGATCTCCGACACATCTTAATAGTTTTTTCGGACCCACAAACTCAGTACATTTAGTCACTTTTGATGTTCAAACCCCAAAGAGGACGGGGAAACAAGCTGCTCCTTATCGTAGGTTTGATTCCCTCTACCATACCAGAAAGAGAATCAAGGATATGAGCACCGTTACTGGAACACCTACCATTTCCATGTCCAACCACGCTCGGCTGCGCAGCTGTGGTGACGCAGAGGCTGGATATGGAGGTTCGTGTTTATTGGTTGTTGGTCTGCTCGACGAGCTTCGCAGCTGAATTGCAAACGTTTCATCACCAATTGAGGTGACATCGTCAGTGTGGGGTTGAGTGGGTGAATTCTTCCTTTTCTACCTGTGCTTATATAGCTCCTAAACAGCATTTGGTAGCTCTGAGGGCGATCTCCGCCTAGTTTGATTGGTCCCCTGTGAATCTGGTCTCAATCTCTTGTGTCTGGTTGGTTCGTTGGGCGTATTCAATACGACAGTTCTGTGTCTGATTGTTCTGTTATGATTCGGTTGTCTTCTTGTTGCTTTGAGGTCTAGATTTGTCTCCTTGATTAGTTGACTCAGTGGTCTTCTGTTTCTCGTGGGCTTCTTCCTCTGATGTCATTAAACCGCTGGTTGTCGTTAGATTTCGGCGGCTTAGAGTCCCGTGACTGTGTAGTTCTTTTGCTAGTAACGGCTGATAGAGGGGGTCAATGTCGATGTGTTTATTGATCGACTTTTGTGTGGAGTACCAAACCTCGGCAAACTCTCGCTCCCGTTTTGTTCTTGCGTGAGCAAGTATTTGAACTCAATTGAACTTCTTGTTCTTCTCCTTCTTCGTGGGTTGAGACAAGTGACATTGGGTCATGTCTTCTGCTGGCAAGTCTGTGCTCGTGTATTCTGGTAGCAAGTTTCTTCCAGTTTGGCCAACATAGTGTTTGTCGCAGTCGTACAATTAGGTCTGCAGACCACGTTCGTTTTCTTCACTGTATCTCACCTACCTTTTTGGTTTCGAGAGTTTTTTTCTCAACGTGTCTGCAGGCTTGAAGGCGACTGTAATTTCATGATGCCGTAAATGTCGTACAGTCATCTCCGCGACGTTTCTGATGTATGGCAGCGTAACATTCCTCTGTTCTGGTTGTGTTGACAAATCAGCTTGGTGGTGGTTTTGGAAGCACCTCCGTATAGAATTCCTCTGGTAGCTGTAATTTTGGAATGTCTCTTTGTTAATCTTTCCTTCGCCTTTGTGGTGTTGCGATGCGTCTCAATCCGCTTGAATAGGGTTCGAACACAGCTCCGTTTGTGGCAATTCATCTGGTTGCTGTAGAAGTTCAGAATCTGATCTGTATGTGCTTCTTTCATGTATACTTCAGATTTTAGCCGGTCGTTTGTCTTTCATGTGACAAGCATATCTAGGAACGCCAACTTGTTGTTTTCTTCCTTTCCCATTGTGAAGTGGATGTCGGAGAACACGTTGTTCAGCAGTTCATTCGCAGCAGTTCATTCGTTCATCTTTCTTTACAAAAGCAAATGTGTCGTCTACATATCGTACCTACATTTTCGGACGTTATTTTGGCCGCTAGTGAACGAATATGCCGATAAACATGTCTTGAGTGAAATCGTCGTGGGTAAAAGTGGGTGTTGGTCTTTAGTAGAGAATCTTCGGATTATTGGGCTGAGTAATTGGAACAACACTTAAATTGGGCACTTGCTACATTCTGTTTGGACTGCCGGTCTGCAGCAAAAATGTGAACTATGGAGCAAAATCTCCTTTGTGGTATTAACGGCCTTCTATCTGAGCATGAAGTCCTAAGTCCGTGCTTGTCCAAGCTATTCGTATCTATCTAAAAAAATGGACCACCCGAGGTAACTCACGTGGGTCCATTGCGATGCTCGCCTTCGGCAAGGGTACACACAGCGAATTTGGTAACCAAGATGTTCTTAGTCTGACTCCCGTTGTAAGGGGAATTCTAGTATCAATGACCCCGTATCGTCTTTCGGCACCACATAACATTCTGACAAGTCGGCAACAAGCGAGATTTCGAAGTGTTTGTTGCTGCATTGAGCATTTGTCTGTCAGGGATTGAAGTGATGCCGGTCCACATTACTGGTGTTTCCTAGCTTTAAAGACTGGTCTAAGGCTGTATATCACCAGCTCCTCTTTCGATCAATATCATAAACCCGTTAACGTAAACCATTTTATACAGTCAACTAGTTTTGGGCTTACAGTACTGTAGAAGGAGCATTTAAAAAGTTTTTTTTCTGAAAAGAGTGGTGTCCGACGGAGAGGCCTAATCTTCATTCATGTTGAGATAATGGGGGCGAAAACTAAAGTCTTCTAAGCCTAGGTTGATAGAATTTCCTATGATTAACCTGCAGATCTGCAGTGTGCAGACGACACTGCTCTCGTCTGTAAAGTACATGGGAAGGTGCAACTGCTAGCATAGCTTTCTTCAACACAATAGTAGATCTACCGAGTGTAGATTCATCTTTTAGAATCTACAGCTTCCGAGAATGTTTGTTGGAATTCAAAAAGTACTGAATATCTTGGTAGGTAGATTAACTATGACAGAAAAGTGCCTGATGAGGTCAATGCGTGAATCACAAGGATGAAAATCACGCGTTCCCCAGTTGGCATTACCTGTTGGTTCAAAAGGGCGTACCATTGAGTCCCATGGGTTCCGAGTACGAAAACACGGTGCTGGCTGCTCTACTACATAGTTGCGCAGAATAGCACCGACTGTCCAAGACGTCTTCAGGTCTTTGATCATCAGTATCTCAGAACCTTTGTCTGTGTCGGATGGTATCAGCGGCTTCGTAACGAGATACTAGAAAAGGTCTTGGTTGCGTAGCAGATAGCTCAGTCAGCAGGAATGACAGCATGTAGGTGAACTCAGCTGTGCTGTAGGCTGACAACAATGACTTGACGAAACACAAGCTTGCATGTAAAGTTATAGTTCATCTGGCACTGCCGAAGATTATATAACTTCGAAGAACAAACTTAACTCTTTGGGCCATCTACCTGTGAAACGCTAGAAGAAAAGCATTCGGCTTGAAGTTTTGGTTTCCTTGTAGCGACGGCCTGTATGTAGTGTACATAACTCACATAACCCTAGGTCGAATGACCGTAGGGATGGTCTGGATTAGAATATGTATTAAGCGTTCCTCTGCAAACGCCTGGGAACTTGGACAATTGAATCGTTTTCGAAACCGAGCGCCGCTTATCAGGTGTTCAGCTGATTCATCTGTGGAGAGCAAGAATGAAATAGTCTAATCTCAAAGTACCCACTTTTTTCCCCAAACCACAAGTTTCGGTGATGCTTTAGGAGTTTTGCGTCTACTTTGGTTGTAAAGCGGGCTTGCACTGCTAGAAAAAAAAGTCACGTGGGAAGTTATCACTGGAGAAACTAGTCAAGGCTGGATCACGTGAAATGAGCTGTGCAATTAGAGGATGGTGGCGGGAGTGAATCCACATTACTGAACAGCTGCTGATGATCGAACTGTATAGCGCTCGCCCACTAACCGGAAGGTTGTGCATTCGAATGATCCTAGAGATTCGTAAGACGTTCAGTA